ATCAATCTCAAAATTCAATTCTCGCAAGAAATCATAAATGTCATCAGATTTATTCAACAAACTTCTTACGTTTATATGTAGAATATTGAATAAATTTTGATTAAATTGATTTTTAATTATTTTCATTTCAGAGTTAAAATCATTTACATCATAAATCTTACATATGTTGGCAATATTTTGCTGAGAGTTTTCAACATTTTCACATACTTCATTTTTGTCAATAGTAAAAAAACAATCCGAAAAATTACTATCCATGGTTGTTGTCGAAATTATTTGCGGGTTTTTTTTCTTTAAAGTGCAAGTCTCTTACAATAATATGATCCATGGTTGTTGTCGAAATTATTTGCGGGTTTTTTTTCTTTAAAGTGCCAGTCTCTTACAATAATATGTTTCAGAATGATATCAGGATTTTTCATTTTATTGCTGTCACAACTTTCTACACAAACTCGAAACATTGTTGAATGCTCATTTTCAATATCAGGTGTGCTATCGTTTGCCATTTCTGAACGCTTCAACACTGGGTAACACAATAACACATTAATATCATTTGACTTTAGATATTCAACTACATCATCTCTGTGACACTTTATCACGTTACTTACTGAAAAGAAAGATTTTTTAATCAAAATCTTATTCGCCTTTAGTTTACAATCTTCACTATCTTTGTTTCCAATTATCTTTTTGACACTTTTTTTCTTTTTTCCAGTTTCGGTGTTAACGATATTTTCATCACTCTTCATTTCAGGAATATTTTTGTTTTGGTTTTTCCTCGGTCTGTTTACAACAGTGAATGGTGATGCATCTACCTCAACTGGTATTTTATCTGTAAGTGGCAGCACATTTACCTCAGCTGGTATTTTAACTGCATCAGACCATAAAATTGGTTTTTGCATCAAATCATTATTTGCAGCTGTATTCAATTTCAAATTTTCATTATTACAGTCGTTACGATTTTTTATACTTTTTAAATTGCACTCTACATAGTTTGTTTTCCCTTTCAGCGCGGCAAATTCTTCGCTGCACTTTTCAATGAAAGCTGAGATATTAA